ATTAAAAGCAAAGCACTTGTGGGCCAGAGGTGTGTATGAAAAAGGAACAAGGAGAGAAAAAGTTTTATACACACATATATATTTGACATTGTAATCCTGCCTTTCTGCAAAATATGTTCCAAATTTCATTTACATTTATCGTAACATATTATTTAGTATTGTTTTAAACTAATTCTGTTTTTTTCAATATGTGCTTTTATATTATTATTGAAAATCCTCTTGGTGGCTCTTTATTAGATGTATATCCTGCATGTCCTTCAAGGATATACAACACTCCCTCCCTGCAACAACCACAACCCTGTGATAATTTAACACAGGGACTATACAGCTACTGAAATATGTTCTTGTAACTGTAGAAAGATAAAAAAAATTAAAAACTCAGATGAATTGTTTTCTTACCAATGCTCTTATTAAACCATGCAGGATTGAAACGCTGATTATCTTTAATTTTTTGTTCTTTGAAAACACTAAAGACAAAGTCATAATCTAATGCAGTTAAACTGCATTTTCTGTTAGTAAATTGTTTTAGTATAAGGATAGTATACGTCACTGTATTCTATGTCACTGGGTTTGTTTTTTTTTCAATTTTTTTATTGCAATTCTTTTAACCTGATTTACACATGCTGGGTATGTATACTGCTCAGAATTTATAATTACTGAAGCTTCTTTAAAACCAATGAATTAAAAAAAATTAAAATTCATTAAAAAAGTATATTTAAGCATACCTAGTTCATTGCTGCAGTTTGGCCTCATGTTATTCCATTCAGTGTATAAATTGGCCAGCAAGGTGGTCATATGGAGTATTATCTCCCAACTTACCTTTTATCAGTATGATGATTATATCTATCAAAGAATGCATCTGTAATTAATATATTGTTTCTTTTGTATTAGATTTCCTCCCTTTTGTCTGTGATGGCTGCTCAGGAGTTTTCTGGTAATTATCTTATTAATTATTAATAATACCATTTTGGATACTAATAATAGTCTAACAATATACACTCTATATTTAGAGATCTGGAACAGAACTGTAGAGGAAATATTGGAGAAATGAGGGAGGAAACAGAATAAAATTTAAGGAATAAATATTACGTTGCATTATTTCATTTTATGCTGTGCTTAAGAAAGACTAAGTCACTCTTTCTTATAATAGTCCTATATTATTGCACATATTGATGACATATTGTCTTTGTTTCTGTAAAACTTTTAAGTATTCAACACAGAAGTCGGCCTGCTCATGGTTGTTCTGAGGTAAGATAATAATTTGTAACTAATTTGTCACAAGCTACATTTGTGAACATTTTAGCTAACAGAGAAATTCAGATTCTTTACATTTGTTTGGAATATCAAGTGAGGAAATTATTCTGAATTAGGCTGTTGTGAACATAGCCTAAAACCTTTTCTGTCATCAGAGCAGCTAAAAGCAGTTTTCAGATTAGCCTCAAAATGTTTTTCTGCTGCTTTGTGGCTAATCCAGTCTTAAGGGATTGCATAGATTTTTAAAAGATGAGTTTGCAGATTCGAATTTAAAATTTTAAATACAATATTTGTAAGGATTTAAAATGTAATGTTGATTAGCTGAGATTAGCTACAGATCTGAGATCAGTACCATTTCCCTGGGTGCCTATTAGATACAGCAATTCAAATTTTAAGAGCAAATGGGGTTTTGGAGCAAGTATGAGCAGCTTCTTAAATCAAACATTTTTTATCTTAATTTTAAAATTTGTTTTAAGCTGCCCAGAGTTGGTCTGAATAGGGTGGCCATATAAACAGAAGGAAGAGAAGAAAAACAAAACATGTTTTCCAGGATTGTGCTGCAGCAGTGGAGGGCAGCCTCACAAGGACAAGAAAAGATGCTACTACTTTAAGGAGATGCCAGTAGATGCTACATAAGTGCCCTGAAGCATCTTTTACCCATTCATTTCTAAGGACCGGTGCACAGACTAGTCCATATGATGCTTGAGAAGCTGAGTCAATGACTTATCAATCATCTGTCAGCTCCTGTCATAGTCCCATCAGGAGCTGCAAGCCAGGCAGTTTCCCAAAAGTGTCATCTCACCTTCCTCCTGCACCCAAGCCACCATGGCATCTTACCATTATCCCCTGTGTCCTTCCAAATATGGGCCAGCTGGAATTTTTTTAAACAAAAGGTTTTTTTTTCCCTCTGCAAATGCAAGGAGGGAGGAATGAATGGGTTGAAGGTAGGATATTAGTTGGCTGCCTTTTTAAATTATTATTAGACTTTCCTGTTGACCAGCTGAGGGAGCTGTGGCCAGCAACTCCGGTGGACAGAGCGCAGCAGGGAGCACAATTGCCAGGGAACTGCTCTAAAAAGTAAGAAGGATAAAGCCAGAGGCTGTGAAGAAGTGACCTGCCTTAACTACTTTTAAAAAGATCTGTTTTGGCTATTCAGTCTAGTTATGGCTTGTGTTTGTCTTGCAAAGAGCTATTAAGTTTAGTTATACTCCTGGTTTGTAGGATAGGTGTGCAAATTATTTTGCTGGCTCTCATGTAACCAGGAGAACGAGCATCTAAAGCAAAGGGTTGACTGCCATAATTTGGCATTATAGCTAAACTGAGCTATTTATTTCCTCTCAGATTTTTGCCATCAGGTTGTTTAAATAGTGTGTATTTAGTTTAAACTATGAACTTTTAATAATTTAATTTCCATGTATAATTTGATATTTGAAATAAATAAGACTATAAATTGTATTTTTTTAATTCACTTAGGCAAATCTAAAAAACAAAAATATGAAACTGGATTATCACAAATCTTTTTTGTGCACATATAAAGGTTGTGATGGAAGAGAACTTGTACCTGTCTCATGTGTTTACTGTGAAAAACAATTTTGCTTAAGGTGAGCAAAGGAAATGATCTAAACAAATCTTATCCTACTGATTTGTATCGTGCCTAGTGAATATTTGGCAGTCTATTATTTTCAGGCACCGTCATCAGTCAGACCATGAGTGTGAGAAACTAGAAATCCCTCAAGCTCGTATGGCTGTCACTCAGCAGTTGATTAAAGACATTGTAGGTAAGTGCAGAAAGGTTTTTTAAAATATCATTTTCTGTAATAGAATGTTCAGAACTCAACATTAGAATAGAGCACACATCCAAGGATGTTAAAAGGAAATACAAAAGCACTCATACTCTTCAGCTGAATAAATCCTGCTTCCAAGGAATTGCAGAGATTAAGCTGCACTCTGTAACCTCAGTTCAATACAATGGCAATTTGTAGTCTTCTTGCTGACCTGAAGGGCATACTGTAGCAAAGCAGTGCACTGAATTTGTACTCCACTTTTACATTTTTCCAAGTATGCCCAGAATTATAAGCCCTGTATGGTATATTTACAATATAAAGATGACATTAGAGGCTGGAGTTTGTTTTGCAGCATGTCAGTTTCCCATTTACTTTAAAAAAGAAAGCTAACAAATGAACACATGGGATGTTGAATCTGGCATGTACCAAGATAGATCATCTCTGGGCACTTGGGTCTCCATGAGCATCATGTTCCCTATCTTTGTAATAATATATTGAAACCTGTGCAAGAATAGATCATTATATAACATAAAGCATTTTTTCAATAAAGTTACTACTGTCCCACAATATTTTATATTAAAATGATTGTCTGCACAGTACCACAGAAGCAAGTTTCTTTTCACATACTCAGGAATTCCTGAGCATCTCTGCCTTTAGATTTTGGTGCTGTTTTTTGGTGCAGTCACACATTTTGAATATTGGCAACTATCAGGATTTCAGCATCAGAGAAGAGGCTGCATCTTAAACACACAAGCAGGGGGAGGCAGCACATTCTCCCTAGACACTGCACTTAACTTTTAGGAAAAAAAGGGACAGGTAATTCAGCACGGTGAATGTCTGTATATTCTTCAGATTCCAAAAAAGAAGCCACTGCAATTAAAAAATGCAGAGGAGCCAAGAACCCTGAAACAGCTGCAAAAGTAGCCCTGATGAAACTGAAAATGCATGCCTGTGGGGAGAAGTCTGTGCCACAGGTAAATCACACTTATTCATCTGCAGACAAATAGATTTCTGAACAGCTGCAGTATTCATTCATTCATTCTTAATGTTTTTCTCTAATTCTGCAATTAAATTTGTTTTCAGGGAGGTGGGGGACAGTGTTGCTTATCTGCAAGATGTAGATTAACTAAAGTGAAGGAGGAAGGTGGAATTTGTCTTAAAATTACAGCTACGGAATGGGAAATTTCTGAACTGATAGAAAAATGCAAGAGTTCCTGTCAGAGCAATAAAGGAAATGGAAACATTTGACTAGAAACTAATATTTTAACATTGCACTTTGGCTTTTTCTCTTATAGACAGAGAGAATCTATTTCCAAGTATTTTTACCTAAAGGAAGTAAAGACAAAAGCATGCCGATGTTCTTTTGTAGTAAATGGAGCATTGGCAAAGTAATAGATTCTGCAGCTTGCTTAGCAAGCCTTAAAAACGACAACAACAAAACCACAGCCAAGGTAAATCAATTAAAGCAATACTGTGGGAATTCCAAATATTTGATTTAGGAGCAATTAACCTTTTCCCCTCTAATTTTCAGAAATTAAGACTGTGCCACACAGCATCTGGAGAAGCCCTGCCTTTGGATCACACAGTGGCATCATGGATAAACTGTAAAGACTCTCCGTTATATAATGGTGGAAATGTAATCCTGGAATACCTTGATAATGAAGTTGAATTTTTAGCAGATGCAGATTCTTATGTATAGTAATTATGGAAGATATTGCATTTGTAATTATCAGATTGAACACAAGAGACTCTGTTTTGCTAGCTCTGTGGTGTAAGAGTGATTTCTCCTAAGAAACGTGAATTCAATTTAAAAAGGGGCCTATATCAACATTTAGCCCGTTGTCTTCCAAAGTGGGCAAATACATTTGTCATACACGCATATTCATCAGTTGTTGCTCTCTGTCCCATAAACTGAGAATTGAGTTCAGATTGACAGTTACTAAACTGTCTGCCTGTGGTGCTTAATCTGTGCTGTTGCATTCCTACATGTAGGTTATTATAAAGTTAGTATCCAAATACAGCAGGGTGATTGTGTTATCTGCCTGCTGTTCTCTGAACCAGTTAAAATAAATGATGTTGAAATAAAACCCAAAGGGAGGATTATGTAGTGGTAGGTTATGCCATTTTCATCACACAACTTTGCCTATTTGCAGTCTCTTGCTGCAAATCATCTTGAAAAAGAGATTTTAGCAAAGGGATGATAGTTAGGGACTAAAAGATTCCCACCAGGTATGGAAATATATGATAATTCCAGTTAAAAAGAGTACTTTGATAAGTATTGCTCGCTCTACTCCTGTGACCCAGTTGATGGAGAGTGAATCATATATGCAATTCCCATAGCAGTAGCTTTTTTATTACAGAATGCAACTACGGAAGCCACATTCTTCAGTAACTGTTTCAGCCAAAAGGAAAAGTTTTATTTGCACAAATTCTTCAAGTACATCTGTATCTCATTTGTTGGAGGACAGCAATCTAGGCTCTACTGAAGATTCTGACAATGCATTATGCAAAGTCACTCATAGATGTTCTTTTGGAATTTTTATATTATTTACAGTATTTTGAAATCCACACTGCATTCACTGTACCAGTGTTTCTCAACCTTAGCAGCTTTTAGATGTGTGGAGTTCAACGCTGGATGGGAATTCTGGGGGTTGAAGTCTACATACCTTAAAGTTGCTGAGGTTGAGAAATGCTGCACTATACTGACTTACATACAGTGGGGCAAAAAAGTATTTAGTCAGCCACCAATTGTGCAAGTTCTCCCACTTAAAAAGATGG